TCCGTTTTCGATGCAGCAATGGAGAAAAGACAACAATGTGTGTCAAGTAACGGTTGAAGTGAGCACTTGCTCGCTCTGCTACGGACAGCGTATAAGGCACAAAGTCGTATTCGCTTACGGCCCTGCAGAGCATCGTGCACGCCTGTAAATATTAAGATCGTTGAACTTATTATCGGTAGGCTGGAGTAAGATAATAATAAACCCATAACCGCATGTAGTAGTGCTGCTTTCTCAATGGGCCAGGACGAAGTGGCGTGCATAGCAATGGCATTGCCAGCGGCGAAGTTGCATATCTGTAAATGTTGCGGGATATTTAATCTGGGTCTAAAATAATGGCATAGTATGCCTGCTCAGCGTCGTGTAGTCATCTTGCACTCTATAAACTATAAAACTTACGGTCATGTCACACTATGAAGGTGGTGGGGGCTAGCAGCTGCAGGATGCTTCGAAGTTCATATCCCTGGGAGTAATCCCCATCGTAACATTTCTGGCTGAGTGGAACGTCTTAAAAGCTGAGAAAAGGTTTTTCAGTTTTGCTGCAACTTAGAAGACCGTGCAAGCTGCCTTTTAAGTAAAGATCGACCAGACCCGAATATATCTGAATGTCCAAGACTTTTTGCAAGGCTTTCTCTAGGTCCCTCTTTAGGACACCGTCATCGACACCATGGGTTCAAAAAAATTACAGGGAGCCTACTCCTTGACTGTTAGACTAAACAAAATAGGAAAAGGTTGTGATAATAGTGTTCATTTCCTCAAGTAGAAAAGTTATGACATGCGATTTTTTACAGCTCGTAACATCTTATCGAGCTGAACTTAGCTAATAGCATTTTTTCTTTCATTTTCACCCTTTTGAAATAGCGAGACTAGGGGGAGAAAAGAGGGAGCTATATACGTTTAAGAGAGACAAACACTTTTTGAATATTTATAATAAGAAGTCTCTTCTGAAGGTGGTTAACTGAATTTAAAAACGAATATACTGTTAAGACACATTCGCGCCGAATATTCGTAACAAATAACGTTGGCTACTACTAACTGAGAGACAGAATTCTGTATGTGTTATCAAGAGATTAGGGCTAGCACGCGGCTCGTCATCAAGTCGGACTCTTTGTCTGGGCACCTATTTGCCCGGTGTACAAGGCCATTTTTATTCCTGTTTGTCAAAATGGTACGCAACCCTCTTGAAAGCTTACTTCAGTAAGGACCACAACGCAGAAGTCGCTTGCCTTCAGGCCCTTATTTTCTCCGGAGAGATTTGCCTTCTCAAACACGCTAATATATCATCAATCGATTACTAAGTAGAGACGCCAAATGGCCTATTTAAGTATTGTCTGCACTACAAACAAAGGTGAGTCTGCGTTATGACTAATGCGACTGAGTATTTTATCCTTAAGTGGAATCACAGGTTTATCCGCTTACACGCTCATTCATTCCGGTTGTATGTGCAATAATTCTCCCAAGGCACTAACCCGCAAGTGTCGTTTGTGGTTTTTGATTGAAGAAGACCAGAGCTCTGGAAAGCCCGCAATCAGTGACAATATTATAAATGAATAACGTCACACACATTTTGCAGTGTGTGTCTTCGGTGGCATTTAAACCAATAACACACGTTGTCTTCTCGAGTTCCCAGCTTTACTATGTAACTTGTTCTTCTGTATATACAGGTAGTTAACCTGCATGTTTTTAATTAATGAAAAAATCGTTTTTGGGTAAAGCCCGTGGGGAATCATATGATGTTGGCAGTGTATGCGTATGTCAATGAGAAATATAAGATTCAAACCAAAAATAATATTGCTAATAGAAACCTATGTTGTTTTTGTTACTAGTAGACAGTTTCTGTAGGCAACATTTAATGCGAATATATTTTGTAGAATCTGCCGTTTTCAAGAAACAGGAACATTCAACCAAAATCCAAAATTATATATCGTAATAGTTATTCATTTGTGAAGCTAATACTGATATTGTGACACTGCTAGCCACCCATAAAATATACACCAAATCGACATATTTTTTTGCTCTAAGCACCGACTACCCTATATGTGCGGCAGTCTCTTCTCTTTGTATTTCCATCAACAAAGCCCACACAGTTTACCGAATAAGGATTTGGTTTTCAGTAATTCAATGGAAATCGAGACGGTAATTAATGATGTAACCCTACTACTCTAATATATATTTTTCTTTATACTTTTTAATTCTGCTGGCGTATTTATTTCCGTGACCCAACTTGAATTTATTTTTTTAATAAAGAGACAGAGAACATGCATTAAAGAGATAATCGCACAGAGAAACCACCCATACACATCTTACGATAATTTTCTGTCGAATTTAGGCTAGCTCTTGAGAACTACCTTAATCAATTCAAATTACTATTTTTAAAAACCTTAATTTATAACACGCTCTCGCGTTTTTACCCATATTCCATGTTGATTAAAAAAAAATATATATATATGTATAGGCATTTCAAACTATACACTACTGCATAATGTTCTACTAATAGCTAGTTATCACAATGCAATTAGGTTAGTTCTTAGTTCTTCTCATACAATACTTTTTACGATAACTTGATTAAGTTGAAAAAAAAAAACAATTTTAGTTAACTAGTCATCCTAAAGGTTGCGGCCGAATCCGAAAGTCCGCTTGACATGTAATGACTTTTTTAAATTTAATTTTTTTTTCAGTTCTCTTTTGACTATCAATATTCTTAGAGATCTCGCCTGACGCATTGTTCGATCATGCGCCCTGCTGCATTCGAAGATCAACAAGCAGAACATTACCTAACGGGGAGCTTTTCATTTGCTTTTTTATGTTTCCTACAATGTCAACACATGTTTTACCATAAGCAGACGCATTGCTCAACAATATTTCTACCACACCTCATTTTGTTTATATACGTAAAAAATGCATCCTATATTTGAATGCGTCTTCGAAATATGTCCTTTTTTTATCTTGCCAGCGAATTTTAATTGCCATCACTTACAGAATTGCAAAGATATTATAGAAGTGCTAACACTGTATAATCGCAACTTGACTAATCAATAAACAAAGGAGAAAAAAAAATACGTGGATTACCTTCTCCATAGCTTGAATCCCAAACTCAAATGTTTGAATGCCCGTAAATAATATGGAAAAGTGTAAGATTAACAGAACTCTTTTTGAGGAAATAAAATCAATTGACGATTATCTGAGATAAGATGGCAATACACAACTCACTCTCATTGTCTGGAAGTAAACTATGGTATCCACAGTTGCTCTATCTGTTCTCAATGAGAAAAAACGCTAATGTTTAACACAGATATGTAACAGACCGAATGTTCTTTAAACTAATATATGAAAAGCACTCTACACACAGGGTACCTGTAGCAAACCTAAATAGAAATGGTGTCCGAAACAATGCCTAGTTCCAGACGTAAAATTCAAAACTAATAAAAAAGAACAGAACGAGGTGGGGGCTCGGCACAAGAAAGACACAAAGCGGAGATCAACGCTCCAAAGCTAGATGTAAGAACAAACTTGTGCCTTACTTACGCAGTTGTTGTTAGTCATTATAAAATTAATGAAGATAATAAATAAGCCTACGCAATGATTCTTTAGACTGTTTCACGGCTTCCTGTTAATTCCAAGTGACAGTTGTGGATCTTTTTGGCATAATTTATTATTAGATGTTGAACAGAACGAATTTTTATGTTTCATGCTAAGCAAATACCGCCAACTTACACATTGAAATTTAGCTGACCTTTTGATATTATTAGCAAGCCAAGTTTTTTCAGAATTTTAGTTTTTCTCGAATAATTTCAAAAGGGAGATTATAGTAAGTTCAATATAAAAGCTATTTTCAGGGTCTTGTTGAGAATAAGTTTCATATAGAACTGGAATTCTATTGGAGTATTAGCATTGGTGTCTATTTAGGTAATTCATCTTATGGTTGAAGTTTTTTTGGTTTGGATGGGCACAGAGAAATGCAAACTAAGGCTTTTTCAGTGTCCAAAAATAACAGTACCATCTTAATCGTAGCTGCTTATTAATTTAGGAATATCTTTTTTGCTTTTTAGGGACACCTTGCCGCACCGAAGACAAGTAGCGATCACGAGAAAACTTAAACAGTGCGCTTTGAGCGCATCCATACGGCGTTATTGCCCATAATCGTACTAGGGCACAGTTCTTACAGAAGCACACACGTAATCAAATGAACTAATTATGAACTATGATTAGATTATGAACTAATTGGAGATTACAGCCTAATCGAGGTTTCTGAGTTGACGAGGTCTTCTATTCGGGGGTATGCATAAGATTTACTAATTAGAATAATTGAAATTTATATGCAAAGCCTTAATTTTCATACTTGGCCCCGTTGCACTTCTTCTGATGAATTCAATCAGAAGTGCCGTGAATTTGCATCTAATTTTTAAGCTCATTTACGTAATTTTGTTTTTACTATATTCTCGTTTATTAAATAGTATCCATCTTGAATGCCTCTACCGCATGTGCTCTGTGCTTCATATATAACATATACGATGATCGTATATAAAAATGGCGCGAGCTTGTTGTTTGGAGGTTCACTTAAATTAGAAACATCTTTACATGTTTCCGTAGAGTAGCAATTATAGTGGTGCGCATATATGCGGCCAGTTACGTCGTCCGTTTGATGTCAACAGAGTATCTGACTATGGACAATCCTATAACAAAGTGGCTACGACTTTTCTTCCGCATGGCTCCACTTTCTTTCTGCAACAAGATGTATTAATTAATAACGTTAAAAACATACAATATAACAGCGGCAGTGACGGCGATAAACAGAGTCCTATACGCATATATAGATAGCGCGTCAGTCACTTTGACACTTCAAGTGCAAAATGGCGCATCTTGTGAGCGCACCAGTCATGCCGTCAGCGGGTGCCGCGTGTCCCTTACAAGAAGTATGTCTTCTGCATAGCGTGCGCCCTCTCCTACGCATGACGATGATACCGTTCGATTCAAGAAGAGCAGCGTACGGTGCCTTTCTGAGGTCATTAGACTTTGTCGGAAAAAATTCCATTGTGTGAGCTCAACATTTTTCCGTACCGTTCAGATTAAAATTGGACAGAATTTTTTTCACAGCTAATGCTGGCCAACTTCAAGCAGCACGGGTTAAAGCAGTTGACCTTTGAATTGCTAATGCCATTTGTCATAAAGCAATTAGCACAGATTAAAACTCTAATCTGCGTTATTTCGAGACGCGTTTATGAAGAAGTCGCCTAACCGTGTGCGCCTCGAACTGCGAATTACCCTAAAGATGACCATGGGCTTTCGGCGCTTAGCCAAGAAGTGGTTGGACCGGATCTTTGAAACGGAGCCGAGCTATATTTCTCGCAGTTTGGCAAAACATAAATTGGTGCTATGCAACAAGGTTAGTCGGTATTGAATTTAACTAGATCTTCTATGGAGGTATCATTTGATAACTTCAGAACGGGCTAAATTAATAACATGTTAAACATTTGGCTTATGATTTTTCCTGCAATCAATAATGTTGTTCCATCCAAGATTTACAACAAGTTACATAATGCTATTTTCTAAAAGCTAGGTTCATGGTAAGATCGCTTTGCTTAGCATCAATTATGTCAGTTTTCACATGGCACAGAGCATCCCTGGTCTAACTGAAGAAAAGCCACTCGTAAAAAGAGTTGCAACAATATATCAACAAATTGTACAGAAACATCCGTTACATTAGACAAGCCATTTTTAAGTTTACAATGCATTATTAACAAATTACCATGGAGTTAGATTCGCTCAGTCACAATATATCCCTTCTTAAATATATCTGCGTGAAGCTAAACTATTACCTTTGTAACTCGATTCAAAGACGTAGGCATTGCGGCTGAAATGACTTGCCATTAGACAAGTTCCATTTAAAAAACGATGGGTATATTATTGGTAAAAGGAAATGTCATCATTTTTTCTCTCTTTTTCAATATTCGCGTTTAATTGCTGCGAGCGACCTGTTACGAAATACAGCCCTATGCAGCAATAAAACGCTATCAACGGTTAAAACAACAAGGGAACATCTAAGTAAGCGCGTATCAGTAGCTAGAATCTTTTAGATGTTGCAAAACGACCGAGAAATACCAGCTGCTTTGATTTAAATCTTCATAAGAACGCTTCGTGAAGAAGCCACAGCGTTAATAAAGTATAAACCTGTGTATTCTCCTTCTTCGTCTGCGAACCCTCTGTGACGGTTTACAGGATGTCAGTGTTTACCTAGCCGGGTTCGAAGTTCCTTATGTCATCGATTACTTATCCAAACAAATATTGCTGCGTGCTGAGATCCCGCTACTTTTTAGAGAGCCAGGTCGAACCAGTATGCGACGACAGATCGGCGAACATTTTTTGAATACAGGCACGCTGCCAAAAGAAGTTATTGGAGATGTACACGAGGCGTGCGCGCTGTACAAACGTTGGTTGCGGACCCTTCGAGATCCCCTCCTTCCATTGGATATTCAACGAAGTATCGTGGAACGGCTAAGTGTGCTTGAAGAACCGGAAGAGTGGCAGCTACAGCGTTTAACTGAGCTCATTGTAGACGGCGAATCACCGCCCCCGTTACCTCTCGTCTGTTTCTTACACTGCATATTTTTTTTGCAGCAAATCACTCGTCTCAAAAATCGCAATTTAATGACGGCTTCATCCTTAGCAGCTATTTTTGCGCGTTACCTTTTTCGGTATGAAGCACTAGAACTACGTTGGCCTCACATTACCGATGACAGTCAAGATCAGCGTGACTATCATGCAATGCAGGAGAGAGTGTTGCTTAAAGTAAAGGATTTTCTTGAGTTTCTCATTAGTGGACGTGGCAATCGAGTCTTCGCCAAAGCGCTCCGTCGAAGAGCTGATCGACAAAAGGACAACGGTCATATTCGTGTGAGGACTCAGCCCATTGCTCAAGCCCAGCCTCTGGGTCATCACCTACCGGTCATACCAACCGAGGCTCGTGCAGCGCTTGTCCAGAGCTCAGAACCAATACTTCTCATGTGGCGTAGCCACGACTTTGATATGGTGACCGTTCACGAGGAACGCAGTCCGTTGCGTATGACCTTTGTACGAGAGATGCGAGCTCGAACGCCTAATCGTGACAGAGATGAGAACTCGATTTATTTGTAATACAAACAACACAAATCATACAGCCTGCTTGACTTAACACTTGTATTATGATTAGACTTGTGTAAAAAATTACCTTGTACGATTCCCTGTAACTTTTGTTTTAATCTATTTATGTGACAGCGAAAGCAACACTAAAGTAACTAAAGGCGTCTCTGCTAAACAAATTGCTCATTTTAAAATGTTTCTGTGAAGCTTTAGTAACAGGCATCGTGAAATTAGAGGCGGGTTGAAAAAATTTTATTGGGCTAGTTTTTCGTAATCCAATTGTGACAGCCTTATCAGTTGTTGCTTATTATAACGACAGCTGCTGAAATACTAACTCGATTGATATAGTTGGAACAACAAGAGATAATACTCCGTGATCTCTCGACGAAATATCAACAAATCAACTATTATACCCGAACGTTGCTGAATTATTAATAGATACGACGATATTGTTATCGTCTGCTAACACGGTTGAACCTCTCGCATGAATCCTTAATGATTATTAAAGGGTAGATTTTAATCATTTTTTGCTCTGGTCTAGATGACTAGAAATTGAGCTTATTATTGTTGTTGACCTTACTAAGATTTTGTTCTTCCGAGCATTTGAAAGACGTGCCTTTTAAATAATCTAAATGGAGATTTGCATGCATCACCTGAAACGATCCGTGTTTTAATTCCTTTTATATTCAACTATTCAATTTCATTCTCAATTTAGAAATAATTTTTGAGATAGAAAACATTTTAAATAAACTTCGCTCGTGATAACATGTGTCATTACTAGACTATATGCAGTTACACATACCTTGCATTCAGCGCAATAAAATCTAAACTATCTGTTGCCTATTTGATACGACACTGGCCTTTAAAGTGCGTTTGATTATAAAGCTAGCAGTTAGTTATATGCTTTGTATTACAGATGGCATGGCGTATGAATGCGATTCTTGTACGAGCTTCTGGAATATTTACTTAACCACTATGGAGTGATCACAAATATGATCTAGATTTTCAACTTCAGTAATTAATCAAAGTAAAAACCCTTAACTTTAAAATAAAAAAGGATTTCGCAATGCATCCCGTGCACCCTATGCTGTGTAGGGCCACTCTGTCGAATTAACGTCCTCTCGACTAAATGATCTCGTTAAACGTACATACGATACTTTAATAACACCAAGTACACACAACTCTATTAATAGGTCGAGTAATTCGGGTCGAGTGGCTTATCGAGGCTATATGGGTCTTGGGCTCGAATTATCGAATAAATAAGAAAAGGTCGAAACATTACCTCGGTTCGTTATAAAATCTATTCATTTTTTTAACTGTTTTTTCTACCATATAAAAATTCTCCTTCTATTTTAGGCTATTTTTTGTTGATTTAAAACGTTTGCAAAAGAATTACCTAATTCATGCATTATATCAATTGCTTCATGTCTGACTAGATAGGATAACTGTTCCGATTATAATGACGTTCTAAGAAGTTGTCTATGTATCATTGGCGGAACCTAAAACCTCTGCCGTCGATCAGGCAGAGACTTGGTCGTCCGAGTTCCCACGTGAACAATAATTAACGTCCTTTCGGTATCATAGTGTTAAAGCAACAGAGCACAATATCTTTGTTGCTAATGATTCTGCCGGAAACCAGCACTATTTATCATCTCTACTGGTGTTACCCTATTAAACCTTTTACCTTTACTGAATTTATTACCTCAATAATAATAATAATAATTCGATCCAACAGCTGGTGATTTCCAGCAGTCGCATTATTTTTTACACAACGTTGATGGATATTCTTTAATTAAAGGTTTTCCAGTTCGCTATCCTTTTGAATACATATACCTAGGTAGATTTGTGTGTGTGTGATCATTACTAATAAGCTTACAAGTTTTGAAGAAAAGACGAATATAGATAATCATTTGTTTAATTTTTGATTTTTTCCCACTTAACATCACACTTGTTAATATTTTTATCAACTCTCATCGACTCCAGCTTTGCTTTTCTGTACCGATTTGTTCGGTATTTAATGTGTCGGCAAGTCTGAATAGTATATTTACAAAAATTTAATAAATAAAACAACAAGACGATATCTAGATGCCAAATTGATCGACTTTAATCTGTAAACGTTCACCAAGATTATTCAACTGATCGTCTTCATATTAAGCACCTTATAGTTATGTCTACGAGGAATTGACAACAATGAACTAATCGCTCTGTTACTAGTATTTTCTAGCTTTTTTTCTCAACGTTTTATATAAAATCATATTAGGCAGAGTAAGCCGTATGTATCTACTAATAGGTAAAGACCGTAAATTTAAAATAAGAACTGGCGAAAAAGGCAAGGAAGATGAATAATTTATCAAATAACACGAATGAAAACAGTTTTTCATATTTATTATAAAATATATTTTCTGTAATATTTTGTTTTTTGTTTTGATTCGATCGAAATTTCTTGTTTGTTCTCGGCTCTTCTGAATTGCTTTGGGGTGAAGGGATGAGTACACAGGAATTCCTTTTTATTTTATGAAAAACAAATGATAATATTTTATCGTCACAACATCAATAAATTTATAGGATTAAAAAGCGTCTTAGTATAGGAGATACATATCAACGACACTATACCAATCAAATTCTCGTATTTTTAGAGTTATTCCTATCAAGAATAACAATAATGGTTTTGCAACCTAATTATTTTTAAGTATGAAAAGGTTCAGACTATATTTTACAGGCGTTAATAGATCTGTTAGCACTATTAGCATTTTTGACATAATACTAAACCAGAAAAAATTGAATGTGCTCAGTGCAACCCTTACTATTGTTTATTTGATTTGACATAGATTTATGATTTTTATTTAAAATTTCGGAAGTATTAATTGTTCATAAATTAAAATTGAAAAAAAAAATGTTCATATATAAACAAATGTGCTTGGATGACTTCTTGCCATTCCCCTGGTAACACCATAATTCCAGCACTGTACAAATTCTGTGGTATCTAGGCAGAAAATTGTGACAAGTTACTTTTGCATCCCTGTATTAAATGTAAATTAACACCATTAAGATATTTCTGCACAGATCGAACCAGATTATGTAACATCCGGGCCATACGACAAACGCATTAAAATTGTGCTATTCAAATTTTCTCAAATTTTTCCGGGAAGCTAGACATAGCTTGTTGTAGTTTCTTTACTTATTAATAGTAGAGATCCAAATTTACTGTTTTCCAGGCGGGAGCAGCTTATAATGCACCATGCTTTTCTAATCCCACCAAACACAACATCATCTTCTTTGATGTCAGCCTAGGTTTTGCTACAAATAGTAAAGGGATATGACTTTGTCTTTGCAAGTTGTCGTATGTGATATACATTTGTCGCGATTTCATGCTTCGCGTATAGAAATAAAAAATAAACTGCTTAGAGGTAAATGTTTAGGTTTTTAACGGCATCACGGCTGCTCTAAGCCGATCTTGCCAGATTCCCGCGGTAATTTTAAAATTTTATCTTGTAATTGGTTGACTACACCATAGAATACCTTTCATACAAAAATTTTAGAATAAAGGCGGCAGAGCCATCTTTAGATTTTTTTTGATGATGCATCTTGCATAACAGCAACATATTTTAAAAGCCTAATCAGCATTTTCGCCTTTATCAAAATAAAATCGTTATTATAACGAATTTTTTGTAAAAATTTGGCTCATCTTTAAAGCGTTCCCTCACTATATCCCAGGTTCTCCAACAATTTTAACACGTATACTACTGCCTAATCTAGGCTTTGAAACGGCGTTAATCCTGATGTAACGCGATTTATTTTATCTCACATATAACGATGAAGTCATCCAGGCAGAAAAACAAAAATCGAAAAATCTATTTAAAAATCTAGAGAACTAAGATATAATACATCTTAGTTCTCAAGAAATCCTGTGCACTGAATTATTTGTCGTTTGTTTTTTAGAGAATAAAAACGCGTCACGTCATCTGCAAATAACTCTTTGCTAGCTTTTTTATTTACATTTTACATATTTATATATTTCACCAATAATACATTTTCTCTTTTTATTTTCGTTCTATTTATTGTTGTTATTATTATATCAGTATTTTTGTATTTATCTCTAGAAATAACTTAGCGAAACTCTTTTACACTAACTATGATACACATAATCATATTAGTAGGTGGCGGCCGTGAAGATAGCGGCAGATTTGGTTTGATAATTTCAAATACTAGACACGCAAGCAGAATAGAACATTAAACTTTTTTTCTTTTATCAGTCCTTACTCCATCTGTTTCCGTCAATATTCTTCCTTCTTACTCCTGCAATGCTGTTGTAACTCTAACCTCTGCGAACTTGGTTAGAATGGCAGCAGTCGGCATAAACGATAGCACTCTGCGCCCAACATAACCACAGAGTCTGCAACGTAATTATGTATATATATTTCCGAATCATCTTTCTGGCTCTTTAATAACAGTAAAGCTTTCAATACATTACTTGGAGCGACTTACGGTACACAATGCCTGACGGCGCTATTTATTTAACGAATTGTTTTCGCTGCAAGTGGTTATGGGTTCAAGTTCTCGCTTTGTAGAACACAAAAAAATATAAGCAGCAGCGGACTGTTTTTTTTAGCCTATAGAAAAATTATAAATAGGTCACACAAATCGAGATTTATATGCCAGTACCGACTGTTGCTGACTTCAGCTTTTTAACTTATCGTAAAGGTGGAATCAATTTAAACTCATTTACTCGTGTTTCACACAATGATCTTCAATACGGCGAACTAAACTAATCGAGCCATAACTAGTTAGGCCCTTTTCTGTTACGATGTGTCATGTTCAAATGTAAAACCTGCCTGTAAAAAATACTTTTTGGGTTGTAATCATTTTAATTGACTTAAAATGTTTGGATAGGATGGACTAGACTTTTTTCAAACAGGGTGCATCTATTCAATATAAAACTGAATGAGCGCTGTTAAGCTTGTCACGTCGTACTTTTCTTTAGTAAAATTTTATGAACTAATGATTTTCTAGAGTTCCATCTTTTATACTTTTAAAACTTATGAGCTTTGCAGTAATATAATATTTTCAAACCATGCATTTTAATAACCCAAAGAGAATTTTTAACCATGATTACGCCCTAGCTACTCGTTATCTAACGGTTTCTTGATTTGCCTGATCCTTTTCTTACTATTGGCAGTTGCGTATGATTTGATGTTGTTTCTGCCGTCTACGTTTATTTGTGAAAAGCTGATTCAACTTATACCATCTTCGTTGCTGATATCTAACCAAAGGAGTAATAACCAACCAATTTTTAGACAAGGATCCTTCACCGCAAACGTGAGCCAAATGTGCCACTCTCCACTGCCGTCATTTGTTTACTCATTTTTTAATCCGCAATTGTTTTGTCCATAGTCACTTTAATCCACTTCGGTTCACTTGTTGTTCGAACAGCTGAACAAGAGTACGTCCAACAAGAGTCTTCTTCTATTTGCTGCCACTCTGCCTTACTTTCTTCGCCTTAAATTGAATTTCCCATTTAGGTTTGATAATATAATATATACACTATGTACAGGGCGGGTGGCAAGCGTTGTCATCGTCAGCGGCGCTCTGACGTCTTCTTCTTTTTCCCTCTCCCCTGTTGTTTTCATTCTAATGTTAACGTCGTCATTAGGGTAACATAATCGATCGGACCGCTTTGTCCCCTCTTTCCCTATTAAGCTGTTTTGTCAATTTTAGGTGTTAATGTCTGTAGTTTGTGTGATTGAATCTATATGTGTGTACAGCATTAATTCCTTTATTAGCGCTTATCAATTGACCCCAACGCGGAAGAGCCTATAATTATCATTAGCCTTCCCATTTTTTGCTGTGTACATCCTATCGTACAATCTATTTACACATTCGTTCATACTCGCTTTTACTAGCTCCACTCCATTGTAAATAATAATAATAAATCTATATAATTCATTCACTAAGTAATTAATCCATAGTCACTTTTACAGTCATTCGCTGATGCAACAGCGCTATGCATCCACCAACCATATTTCTTTCTTGTTCGGTCGCTTACCTGCCTAACGTATTTTCTCAATTCATTGTATGCTTCAGCACTCTCGTGTAGATATCCGTTTCCCCTTCCCAAACGGTCACTTAAGAATCGAAATTATATATTCTGGTTATAGTTGTGTAAGGCAACGTCTAATAATCCCAGAACTTCTTACTCTACTACACTTTTCGCATCCTGAATCACTCAATTATACTAAATCATTGAAGACCACTGAACGTCATGGTCTCATAGCTTAAACACCATCGTCGTTATTTAGTACATTTTACCTGCGTCTTACGAATGCAGAAACCGCAGCCAATGAGGATTTACTACGCCTCAGACCTGGTCACCGTTTTGTGTACCTTTATATGCATCGCATCGTCAATTAGGAGGTTCACAAGTACCAACTAGGGCTACCTATTACATACACGCAGTCATTTTATGATTCAGCATCCTTCTCTGCGACCATTTTTAGGCCATCTTCACCGTGTCAGTGAGAATTATTCTCGATAAGAAAGGTCGCCCTGGCATAAACTTCCACATTGCAACTTGTGACCATCATATATCGGATATTTGTTATTTTGTGGTACACATTACACACATACCTGCCACGCCTATTCCCGTCACCTACCTTTTCCGTCTTGGCTGGCCTTAACATTATCATCATCATCATACCAATATAATTATAAGAGCTATCTTGTATACACTTTTCGACCTCTCGACGACCTTGATAACCCTATGCGCATCTTCTGCAGCACAAAAACAAACACAAATAGCAGAGAAGTCGCGCTGTGCTTGACTGCTACTCTATAAGCTTCTATTCGTAGTCAGAATCGTCCATATTGTTCTCGCTTTCTTCCTCCGACGACTCGACTCGCTTCTTCCGCGGCCTTCCTGGTCCACGCCCACTGCCAGGCTTTCGGCCCCGACGACCAGGAGTTTTTGGCTCCTTAGCAGCGCTGAGTTTCAATTTGGGAATTGGTCCGCGACGTTTCTTTTCAGGGGACGGCGTAACCTCATGGCCGGGCGGCAGTATAACCGTCGTAGCTGACGGTGGAGCCGGCTTTTCAGGCGGTGGCGGCGCCTTTGAGATCTTAAGAACGATACCATTGCTTGACTCCTCAACGCGAGTCACAAGTGGCCCCTGAAATTCAATAAATGTTATCGTTTAGTGATCTTTCTTGCTTTCAATGGTCTGTGAATAGAGAAATGGTAACTGTTTGACATTACACAAATACCTTCTTATGCGTATAGCGTCTCATAAACGTAATGATCCACTATCCAAATGCCATAGGTGTTAATTTGAAAGGAAAGGTAATTGAAAACAAAAATGTTGTCAATTTGACTTACTCCTATAACCATTATCTTATTAATTATATTATTAGGAAGCTATGATCAAACCTACCTGAGGCTGTTCATCCTGATCATCATCATTAGGATCGATGCTGAGCATTAGTTGGCGAAAATGAATGTACTGTTCAACAAGAGCGCGTTTTCCGTCCTCGTCTAAATGCTGCTTAACGTCCAACGATCCACCGGGCTCTTTAAGTTTCTCAAGGGTAAGTGAGGGAGAAAAATGAACGCCTACTTTCCGACTCACTTGTTTCTCATACACTTTTGCTTGTTCATTAGGAGAATATTGCGCGATCCTGGCATCGGTCAATCCATATATTTCTTTGAGAGCCTGTTTGCATAGCAACAACAAGACACAAGCGTGTGAGCTGATCATACACTCCTGAGCTACTCGTGTGTCCTGTGGAAGTCTTTCAATAAGCGATTCCAAATCATCGTCATCATCCGAGTCGCTCTCATTGCCCAGTCGTCGTTGGTCATTGCGTTGTTGTTCTTGACCTCCTCGACGTGAAAGCTGTTCACGGAAATTATGCAGAAGACCAGTGCCACTAACGGAGAGATGAATATCAATATGATGCATTACAAACAAAGGTTCATCCTGCACGAGGTATGGAAAATAGACAACGTTGTCCGCGATGTACAGTAACTCCATGAGAGGCGTCCGATTGGAATCATCAAACTGCTTAAGCAGTGAGAGCAAGAAAGCTCTTCTCGTTTGTCTTGTCGATCGTAACACTGTGTACAAGAAACCATTGCGGGCAATTGGTTGTCCGTCCGCCTGAATGCGCACGCCTCGAATAAGGCGTTCCTCTTTTTGCAGACGATCTTCTTTCAGAACTGTCTGGAGTTTGTAACTTAGTCGAACTCCTGCACCCGCTTTCATCTGAACGAAGCCGGGATACTTTTTCTCAAGCTCCTGCAAGAGTCGTTCTGCTGTAGTTCGCGTATGAGGGTCATCATCGCTGCCGAGACACGATAAGTACGGCACCATTTGAACGGGGTGTACCAAGCCTTGGCCAAGTACTAGTTGTATGACATAAAGCGCTTGCTTACGAACCTGTAGATGATTTGAGATGACCGATGCAAGGATTGGCTTGAGGTAAAGCTGAATGACGGTGGAAGCCATGCCCGATGCCACATCACCCATCTCTTTTAAATTTTCCTTTTTCGTTTGTTTAGCCCATTCGCGGTCTCTTTCTATCATTTTTTGCTCCTCTTCATGCAGGTACGTTTTAATGTTAGTCAACACAGATACCTTAAACGTGGCCGTTACCTCAGGATTTGTGAGGATATAGTTGTATAGATTTTTCACGTCATCACCCAACATGAGATCGTAATGACGATTTAACATAGAGCCAAGGCCTTGCAGTGCTTTTAACCGAATAGCCTCATCAGCATGACTGTTGAAGTGGATAAAGCAGTCAAACACAGCAGCTTTCTCGCTCACTTCAGGTGTAGCGGGATCTTGAAGATGTTCGAAGTCGAAGTGCTTGCAGATTAGTCCGGCCGTAAATAGGTTGCGCATCAAAATGGGTTTATGTGCTTTATCAGGCTCATTCTTGCATATTTCTAGTGTTTTGACAATTTTCTTAAAGCAATCGCGAACCAGTTTGTGATTTTTGGTAACGAGATTGACTATCTTTCCAAGACAGCTGGTTGCAGACGGCAATACGGCCGAATGTCCACGTAAGATGAGCTTAGTTAATCCTTCTTCGACTTGTACAAGGAAATCTTCGGAGGGATGGTCTACGAGAGGCACCACCAGCTCTAGACAGCTCACGACACACTTGATGATCATTTGCTCTGCCACCGTCGTACAAGTTACCGACAGGTACGGTTGAAACACCTGAATTCGAACAATAGAATAGTACGACGTTAGTTTCTCCAAAATAAAATAAAAACGATGCCACATGGTCAAAGGTATGAAATTAGCGAAATAGACAAAACTATCAAAAAGTATATTTTGACTTCAATGAAGGAGACTACAGTTTTTATTAATTTTTTTTTCTTGTGTTTCAAACACTCAAAGCTAAGCGTTTCCACTAAAAAGCACCGCAAAAACCAATTCAAAGCTACAACTGCCTTAAAGTATTCGAAAATTTTGTAGATTAAAGTAATCAATGATCCTTCAAAACTTCATTTTCGAAGAGCAGAACATTAGACGCAATACATAAAATACACCCGCAAAAGTTCTTTACTGAGCCCGAAAGGGACCATTTATTTTCAGCGAATCATTTTTGATATGTTCGAGTTCACTACGTCTTGAGGTAAGTTCTCAGCTGAAACGCTGACTACCTTAACACTCGCCTTAAGTCATTGGTCTCAAATTTAACACTTCTCTGGTGTTGCATTACGTATTTTGAGGCATGTTCGTGGATTTCTAATAGCGTTCCTTGAGATACCGTGACCTCTTAAATATAAAATAATACTACCTAAGCAACAAAATGGATCAATTCAACGATATGTGTATTAACTCGTTTGAAAGTTTCAATTTTTAAAAGGTAGTTTATTGGATTTCGACTAGGAATTTTTTTATTGATCAACCTACTACTTGAATATCCTAAATTTTTTTAAAATAAAAACTCAGTCCAAGTTCAGCGGAAACCCATTACTTATTTGATGGTTTTATAAGCCATTTCGAACACTCTCCGCACTACAGGGAAGGCGAAGAAAGCATATGGTAGGCTTCCAGTTAACTAAACCTTTGTAATACTGCATCGTATTCGCTTTATAAAATCAGCTAAAAAATATTTCTATAAACTGTACCTGTCAAAGAAATAAAGCTCGTCTACCCAAATCGCTAACACAAAATACATTGAGCTTTTCCTGACAAGCAAGACATTCACCTTGAGGGGGCTCCTCTGTCCGTTTGGTGAAACTCAAGAGGAGAACTAAATTATGTGTTCATAACTCTTCGTAGAACACTTAATTCACAACGGTGTGAATGTCAACAAATTAAATTGACCAGTTCAACTGAAAATACAAAACTGCTTAGGAAAGAACGTTTGTCCTTAGACAGCTATAATGATGCAAAAGCCATTTTATTGTTAAATGCTCTTCTTCATCATTTAGTAGACCTGGATGCTTAAAACCGCTATTTAAATCGGTGTAAAATGGTCTGTATTTGACAACTGAAGATATAAAAAATGGAAACTGTTGACTCAAAGAGCCAACAAGTTCAGCTCAAGAAGGTAAGCAAGCAGCCTGATAAATAGCAAAGGGTTACAAACAAAATGACAAGTACTTCAATGACTGACATATCAACGAAAAAAGTAGCATATGGAGGTTAAGCTAAAAAAAATGGGGCAAGATATCCTACCTTGGAATTAAAACGCCTTAGAAAAGCGTCGTGGGCTAAGTCGGAATACAAATACTTTCATGCCATTTTTTTCTCATCATTTTGCTAGGAAGTGTGTGAAAATAATTAACAAAAATCTTGAAAAACGCAGTTTTGTCCATATTCGTACTTTGCAGATACGAGCATATCACCAGCACAGTCGGCGCTTTACTGTAATAACCAATGCCGAAGTTCACAGGAATACAGATAATGCTGCCATGATTCAAAGTCCGAGACGTTCCGACATAATTCAATCAACGACGATAGACATCAACATGTTGAACTTAAAACCGACAAGGTCTGCGTAATACAGAGCCTCTGTTATTATCGATCCGTTTGGCAAAAGAAGCTTGAATTCTGCAACAGGTGTGCAAGGATGGAATTTAGCATAGATTTAAAACTTATTTTTTGCAGTATAAAGTGCTAAAATTATAAGAATGTATGGTAACTTGACATATCTTAGTTAACCATGTAGACAGTACCATGTATTATTCCAGCAGACGTCTTAAATCCTTCAAAATAATAAAGGCACATAATCTATAGTAATGTTGTTTTCCATAAACCCTAACCCTAAAAAAAATGTCTGTTATATGCACGAATTTAGCAAGCAACTGAAATTAGTTTGAAATAGCAAAATTTGTACATGTATATATGTATATACTTACTTTTAATATCACTAACCTGATAATGCTTCGTGGTCATAGCAGGTTCGATCTTGGTGAACATGTTGAGTGTTGTCAAACAAGCAATAAGATGCGGCCGTGCATTTTGCTGTTGATCGCCTTCTAGCTCCAGTACATTGTCAACAAGGCAGTCGACTATTTGGCGACAGGCCATTTTTGTTTGAGGCAATGCTGGCTCATGCTCTTTAGATCGCAGGAGATTTGAGAGCAACTGCTCAAACCACTCGAGTCCTGTGTCACGACAGGCTGCCACAACATGACATATATTTTTGACTTTTTGTTCGATTCGTTCTGTTTCGCGCTCTTTACAAGGCACAAACCACATCGATTGAAAAACCTCACCAACGAGCTTTTTAACGGCTTCCTCATCATTGACTCGACGAATTATACGGACACAGATCTCCGGCACCTTCTCGAAGTCGGGTTGCTCCACGCAGATATCCTTGAGGATCTTAATAACTCTCTTACGTACAGATACACCTGTGTCGAGTATCCGTTGAGTCAGCATGTCATAATAAACATCAATGAGCTCCGGTGATTGTAGAAGAAATTTACCGAGGAGATCAACTGCGGCTTCACGTACTGACGTCGCTGAGTCAAGTAAACGCGAATGAACCGCAAACTTGACGTTGGGTCGTCTTAATATGTCAGGATCAGCCTCGACCACTTGGGTAAGACATTTCATTGCCTTTGTACGCACGGCAGTCGTATTCTCTCCTAAAACCTTGAGGATCTGTGAAAGGTATATGTCGAAGCTTCGTGAAAAGGGTCTTCGTGAAGCAAGGAAACGTGAGATTAGCTCAGCTGTATCATAGTCAAGCGTTGTTCGCATAATCTCTATCGTGCCAAAATCAGCGTAGTCTTGCTGGATGGTTTCGCACACGAATTTCTTGCGTTTTTCGGCTAACTTCTGCACCTTCATCTGATCCTTGTCGTCCTTCTGAGCTTCATCTTCGTCCTCTGGTTCACTCTTGATCTCCTTTTTCTTTGGAGATTCTTTCTCAGACGCAGATTTGGCTCTCTTTTCTTCCTTCTTGATCCTTGTGTCTTCATCTGAAAATATGCTAAGTTACCACTTCAGAAATGCGAAACTAAGTTTGCTAATACGAATTCCTGGTTAGGTGAATGCCTAACTGTCTAGTCCTCAAATCATCTAAATCAAAGACTGTCCCTTATCTTTTAATTTTACTGCCTGACTTACCTCCGCTTCCTGCCTTGGCTTCAGACTTTTGTGCAGCGTCTACTTTGGCATTCGCCACAGCGTCTTTGTACCACTGTGCGAGATAGAAGCGCTTCGAGAACTCGAGCGAATGATCTGACTCAATGTTTCCATCGAGGTAGTGAAGCAGAGCTTGTTGAAGGATCGTCACCTCATCGCGTTCCTCCTATGGGAATAAACAAAAACAATAACAATAAGAATAGGTACTGAGAAACAATTACCTTTGTGTCGAGGAAACAATTGCAAAATATCCGACAATCACACAGACGGCATATCCTCACAAGCAAATGTCGTAGCAAATAAAAAATGTCGATATACCTACTAAACACAAAATAATACTAATACTAAGGCTATCCTCATCATTCTTCTTTTGGTAAGTATATGCTTAGGTAATGCTTAGACGAACATATCAAAAATGTTTCAAAATTTGTGCCCACTACTGTCGCTATCAGCTGCCTTCCGACTGGTAGCCACCAGTTAGGAACAACAACAATTAAAAATAAAATTAAGTTTGTCAGAAATACATCAGACGCTATGCGGTATGCAGGGTAGATCCATTACGCTAACAGTACTTGCGAAAACTGTCTTTATATTAGAAATTGTATGGTTTTTTATTGACGAATAATTCTACTAGCCGCTAACTACGTTTATCCATCAACCTACTAAATTTATTAGCGCTGGTGCTGTCTGTCTGTTCCTTAGAAGTGCGGACACGTTATCTTTTGGTGGGTTTCTGTTCTCGATTTTGTTTTCCTGACTAAAATATTTTTCCACAAGGGAGTGCTTAAAGGATGGTGTTGGGGAGGGAGGGGTAATCTTGGCTCCATCCGACAGTTTACGATAAGCTAAATCGGTGTTATTTTTGTTCTTATGCTTATGTTTGTTCTTAGGTTTGGGACAAAAGTGACGGCAGTTTTTTCCCAGTTTCTTCGTTATTTAGAATGACGCTTAGAAACAAGGCGCTATCGCAACCGTTACACGGTTCGTGATCAGTATTATGATGGAAATCTTGAACATAGTCGCACGCGTCTCAATGTGCACATTAGTTTACTACCGAAATTTTCATCGATCGACAGTGACATACAACAGTTGTCAGGAAAATCGTGTCTATCGAACATGTATTGGTACTGCTGCCTTAGTGTTGGCTCTCCTGGACCATACTAGCTGAAGAAAGGGCTGCCCTATGAAAAACTATGAATCGAACCCGACCACTGAAAGAAAAACCGCATTCTAAAATTGTAAGGACACATGACCACGCGCTCGACCAGGACAAATACCAAGCAGCTAGACCGGTTTATTGACCTCCAGATATGCAAATCTGTAACAACAGACTTTATGAAAAGCTTACGTTCTACACCATTTAGGTACTTACGGTCTACGGCCAGTTCCAAACACATTCGGTTAGAGTCAGCAAACCTTTAGGGGACACCTGTATTCTATATGACTCCAGAGAGATAGAAAAAATAAGAGTAGGAGTCCGAAAAAACAGAACTGCACCATAGTACATTGCCATACCCTAAGCCCATTTAGGGAGGATACTATATCCACGTATATATATATATAAACACGTAGAACTGAGTAAATGCACCTCAGTTAGAGAAGATGTTGATATCATATTAGGATTGGAATACAGGGTTGCAGGGGGTACTATGAATATAGCAACAGACAGCTCCTTGTCCCAAAGTGATCAGCTTCACAAAACGAGATGCGACTCTTACAAGATTATGAAGTAATGGGTCACGTATATACGAAAACCCGGATAGAACAGTGTTAAGATTATATGATCATAAACACATGATCATATGCGCAACCCTAAGCAAAAAAAGTTGATGGTTAGAGGTTTTGTGGACAGTAGAACAGACAAACATTCTGTGTCTCATACATCGAAAAGAGCATAATATGAGTCATAAAAGCACTACCTCTTCACCGAAAAAAAGGTAAGCTAGCTTTTCAACGGAATTTCCTTAAACTTGACTTTGTTCTCTCGACCAGATGGTATTGTTTTTCTAAGAATGAAGCCATACGTAGAGCAAAGATTGTTTTTGGCAGGCATCGAAAAGAACCGTTTAGCAATATGATGACGACTGCTACCAGCATTGTCATAGCAACCATGCCACCACACTGTGCGAAGCTTTACTACGGTTTTGTGTAAACGTATATAAGCGCACAAATAAAACAAAACCATACGGAGACATGACATAAGTTTTTGTCATTGTGGCCGTAAAGGTGAGGCGCGGAGCGTACAGTTAAGATTGTATATCAGTTCAGCAATTACATTCGATCAGCATGCACATCGTTAAACATTCTACCTTTGAGATCCTTATGTTGTTTACAAATTTTTTTTACATCTGTAACTAGTTATATGATTATTAGGATCCTACTTAAAAATTACAACATACCTTAAGTTTAGCTGCGTTGTTCTTTTTCTTCTTTTTAGATTTGCTTTGAACAATCATATCATCATCATCGTTATTGTCGTCACAAATCTGTCTGAGAATATCATCTATTACTTCTTGTCGAATTTTGGTTTGCACGGCATCTTTGCGAAGTCGGGCTGCAACGACACCAAGGTACTCTAGTGAAGACGTTCGCATAGACATATCCAGGTTTTTATTGCTAAAGTTGTTAACAAGCAGTTGGCCTAGAAGTGAGAGCATTAGTTCCGAGGCAGGCCACTCTGGTTTGTTCACAGTTGACAAAAGATCCTGTACGAAGTTCTCGAATAAAGGCCTGCAAACACGAATTAGAGAACAATAATTTGTTTCCATTAAAACATGGAAAGCATAATCCAAAATGGTTAGCGACATTACCTTTAGTATCGTCGAGTATTCTGGTGGTAATTACATTAGAAAAATACAATGCCATTATCTTGATATTTTCGACTTAAGCAAGGCTACTTACACCAGTAACTTGAAAGGCATTATATATAT